TATATATATATAAATTACATAAATAAAGAAGTCATATGTACTAGAGTAGATTAATTTAAATTGACAGTTTAATAGCAACAAATTACAAAAATAAGAAGGAAGAAACAAAGTAGATTTGTATTATAACAATATATAAATATACCAATACATAAATTTATATACAATATGTAAAAAATATCAAGAGGCTTATTTATTTTTTGCAAAGGATACTATTGTTTGTCTTTCATTAATAGATCATTGTAGATCTCTTCGTACGAAGTACCAAAGTCATAGATATTAGGACGATCCGGTGCAGTTCCAGGTAGTTTGACCTTATCGCCGGTTCCAAATGATTTCACGTTGAATCCCTTTTTGCTGAAATACACAATCACATTCTCAAATAATATTCTATATTTACCATAAAAAGTGAGCTTCTCGCTTAATCCATTAAAGCCTGCGATTTCTTTGATTCACAGGAATATTTCAGGGGTGAATATTTTTATAATCTTGGAAGTAAAAAATTTCTCCCTTCCTACACAAAGAGAGGGTGTTATCACAACCCGGTTGAAATACCGGTGGACCAATCGTTTTAATGGATTAACCATTGCTCTGATAAATTGACCGCAGCTTTACCTTAGGAAAGCGTGCGCTTCCATGCTCCTGTTCATGTTACTGGAACATATTACGGCTACGCTGATGGAATTTGGCGCTGGCATTCTCTCGCGCGTTCTAGCGACCGTGAAAAAGCCGTGATAAAAATGCCGTATTGTCTCGTAAGCCAAAGATGCTGAAACTGTCACGCTTGAAGGTTACGTCCGCAAGGTTACGAGAAATACATTTGATTGAAAATATACGAATTCTGACGTGTATCTTTCTCTCTCTCTCTCTCTCTCTTCCTCGATATGCGCGTGTAATATTTTTTTTTATCGTATGATTTAAATCTGAGCGTAATATGGGCGCAACGCGATCCGGTCAAATGTCAGATATAATTGTCTCCGTAAAGGCCATACGAAATTCTTCTAACGGGAATGAATAGCGCAATTACGGAGAGTGAGAGAGATCGGTATTTTCGGAATCTTTTCGTTTTTCTGTCGATAAGAACGTCTGCCGTTTTCTAGCGACATCTGTGAACGGCAGGATACATTGGTAGAGAAACATTATCGACAATACGCCGGAAACAAATATGGCGAGAAGAGTTCAAGAGGCGAAATACATCGCTCCTTTTTGCAACATTTCTACAGACTTTTACCAAGGTGAGAGACCAAGCCAAGTTTCAAAAATACAGTTTAATAGCAAAAATATCTAAATATTGTCGCGAAAGTAGGTTATTCGTAGTCGAGTGTTTGATTATCTTTAGTGAAAGATTGTTTTACAAAACCGCGCGTCTTTCGCTCGTGATGCGAGCGTTCAAGTAATCGCGAATCTTGTAAATCGATCGATTTTATCGAAAGGGCCTACATAAAAGATACATCAAATTGTGTGAGATGGATATTTATTATTTTACGCGTAAAACTTTCCTGCGTAATACAAGAAATAATTACGATTATATGAAATTATATGAAATATATTTTCAATATTTTCAGAGAAACGACAAGGGAGACGGTTGGTGACGTCATCGATTTCAAAGGTCACGTGATGCCCCGTTCAAACCGCTCGGACTTCAGACGCGTGCGAATCGAATGTTCCTTTCAACACGGTTTCTTCGAATAGTGCCGCTTTTGTACGGGCGAACGAGATTTCTTCGAAAAGTGCTTCGCTTTATCGCATTCATAATCATCAGCTCGTCTATCATATCGCCGGCGATCGTCGCTGGAATAAGCGTCCACGAGTCTCTTCGTTCCGGTGAGTAAAGTTGACGTTATCGTTTATTCGGGTTATAAATTATATATGTCCGTGTGCGAGCCTTGCTCCTCCACAAATACGGCTCTGATCGAATTTAAGTCCCCGGAGACTTGATGAAAAATAATCGAACCGATATATTTATTTTCCAAATTAGTACTATATGTTATAAAATAAGCGAGATAGACGTATGTTTGAATCGAGAAGAAATATCGGCGGGTCGTCATTTCGCGAAATTGTCTATCGCCAGAGGGATTAATTTGTCTGACTTTTTTTTTTTCCTTACAAACGCGAGAAACCGTTGGACGTTTCCCCGCGATTCTTGCCGTTTCCACAAATCGCATGCGAAATTCGCGCCCGCGTGCAACGAATCGAAGCGGGAATTAAAGAGGATCGTCATTAAATTGCATAACACAGGTTCTCTTGCAAAACCGTGAGATAATGATTAGGCGCCGCCGTATGCCTTGGCCGGCAATAAACCGGCGCGACTCTCGACGAAGATTGCGTGCCTCCGAGGGGCCCCCGAATTAAGGCGGGGCCACGAGCCTCTTCAATTTCGCGCTCGATGATTCCACTGCGAGACACCGTGTCGCGATCCCTCGAACGGATTCGGCTCGCGTTTAGAGCGAGTCGCAATCGGGATGCGCGGAGAAGCTAAGATCGCGTAATAACACGATTATACGAACTCTGTCCCGTTTCTGCTCGTTTATTATTTTTCGCCAGCCGATTCCCCTCGGCCGATTTGCAGTCGATTCTTCTTCAGCGAAAATGTCGAGGCAATTTTCGAGCTGTCGAGTAATTAGCGATTGAAAATTAGAGACGAATTGAAAACTTCAGAAAAGAGAGATGACAAAGTCACATTTCTCAATTTATATTTTGATTGGATTTTATTTTAATAGAATTTTTATTCAAAAAGCGCCTTATTACAGAAATGTATAGATAAATATTCTAATAATATTGTTTACTCTAAATCGGTCGAAGAGAAATCATTATTTAAAAATAATGCGGCAAAAACAGGACATTTTATGTTAATGCAATTTAATGGCCATTAATCGGCCGTTATTTTCGCGTTTTATTTCTTTCTATGGAATATATATATGTTGTTGTGTTTGAATTTATACAATTTCTATACAATTTTTAAAACATGTCGTAAATGGATTATAATATATATTGGATTTTTCTAATTTCAAAATTTTAATATTTTACTAATTTTACATAAAACATTGCATGATATTAATGTACATTTTAAATTAAACATTTTATTTTATTGATTATTTTATTGGTACATTTTGTGAGTACTCTCTTACATATAAAGAGAGCCGCAATCTTATACAACATATTACCGGAAAAAGTTTTTTTCTCCCATAAAAGGAAGTTTGAAATTATGAAAAAAATTATAACAACTCGTAGAGCTGTGGGATCTCGATCTCTTCGGTGCTCTCAGCTTCTCTCATATCGTGTCTTGTGATTTGGCGCGGAATTGCGGATCGGTGCCCGAGTACTTATCGGCGATGCTGTTAAAATTAACGCTCCGGCAAGTAGCTCGAGCGCCTTGTAGAGCCGCCCGCTCGTTCCGCGAATCGCCGATCGGTGCACATGCACTGTACGTTGTTGTGCACGGACAAACGGATCAACGGATATTGACGAAACCAATTTTAGATCCACGGCTCGTCTCTCTGTATAGCCTATAATGGCGCGTGTTATGCGCGCTCCGCTGCGTATGGCAATTGCTTCACCAGTCCACTTACGTTAGATAAAAATATTTTAAAAGGTGATGGTAAAATGTCGTACGCGATCGACTTTTCAAATACAACCGGATGCAATATGGTCCACTTGTCCTTACATCGGATTATATACAATTACAATATATACAGTCATATAAATTACAACAAAAAAATATATACATATATATCTTTTTCCAAACTTGAGAAAGAGAGAATAATCAAGTATTCCCATAGTTTTTCCATTGAATATAATTCTGATTTTTAAGATGCGTTATATCACACATCGCAATTGTAAGAAATTTAAGAAATAAAAATTATAAAGTTAAATACACGGGTAAAGAAAAAATATAAGAAATGATTATTTCTTTTCTTGGATTTTTTTTTAAATTATGTTATTATAATTTATATATATTTATTAATTGCACAATTAATATGAAATGATAAATTGCATTATAATAATACTAAAATGAAATAACGATTTTACAAAATATTCTATTTTAATTTTATTTTTGATCTCGGCTTTCTCTAATTAACGCGAGTTTCGCTTTCCAAGGGAATTATTCTCTTCATGTGTTTGCATGATAATGTATCTCCCCATTCAATCGATAGCGAGAGCGCAAAAATAAATTGTGGAAGAAGAATTGCTGTATATTGATCGCGTACAATCGATCTTTTTTCTTACATGATAGTCGTAAATTATGTTCTACGTGCTCAATGTCGAAAACGCTTTTTAGCCGGATACGTTTTAACTCATGGATATTAATGACGAGCGTTCCATGACCATGAGACTCCGCGTTTTGAATAATACCCGACGGTTGTCATATGCATAAACTAGCAGCCAAAAGTCATCCTTACGCGATGCAACGTTCATTAAATTATCTCTCTCTCTCTCTCTCTCTCTCTCTTACCCCTCCACCCCGTCGTTCTGGATTACATATGCGTTCCGCGTCCCGAATATCAATGTCACGTTCTACACTGGCAAATCGCACCTATTTATCTCCCTGTTGCGCTCTTTGCTCCGCAGTCGCCAAACCTGCGGGAATAACCGCAATATGTCGGTCACGTAACATCAAAGTCAAGCAGCACGAGTGGAGATAAAATTGAATTAAATATTGACGATTATATTAAAGCTCATGATTGAAATTTCGAGTTTTAAAATACTTTGAAAAAATAAAGAAATCGTTTGTGCTCTTAGTTATTCATTCGTATACTAATGAATCAGAAATAATAATTTGTGATCGAATATTTATACAGATATATTCTCTACAAGCATAATTTAATATTTCAATTGACATTTTGTCTGAAATAAATCCCGAGAGAAATCGCGCACATTTTAATATAAATGATACAATTCTTAAAAATAGCTATCCCAATCGCAATTTATAGCTAATTAATATCAGAGACTTTTTCACGTCATCGCGAGAACTTTATATATAAATCACGTGAGCAATAATAAGAGACTACACTTCTCTTATTATTAATCTCGGGTTAGCTAATTTTTCGCAAGAACTCGTATAAGAAGAGTTAATAAATCGCGACTGTGAAAAGAAAATCCTTCATACCTGACTCGCATTAATCCCGGATTGGCCAATTCTTGATATCGGCCGTTTCCGTGAAAGTCGGGAAGTCGCGATCGTCAGAGCGGAAACGACAACTCTTCTATACAGAGAGAGGACACGACACGATTGCGAGGCATCCCTCGTATACCGGAACTCGATCGAAATTTTCTCAGTCGCCGAGACTTTCGACTCGGTAACCGGAGTTTTCGCTCATCGAAAAACATAGGAAAAAGACATAATTCAAAGACGTGCCTATTCCAATCGATGATTTTCGCGTGACTTGAATAAAAAATTGATTTTAAAGAAAAATTTCCTCCCAAGGATAATTTCTCTAGTACGATCTTTAAGATTGAAATAGACTTAATAAAATTTTGTCAATTATAATATGAATGTTATTTCTTCTTTCGATAAAAAACGCACGATTGCGGTGCGAAACGAGGTCCCCTTCACCGTGGTCACTCGATTTCGAGTAAAGGGCTCGTTATCGTGGTCGTTGTCGTGAAAGCACGAGTGAACGCACAAAGGTCATTAAGTCGGCAGTTCACGATTCGCGTCACGACTTGTCCTCGATCGGTATGCAAGCACCAAGTATCTCGCACCGAGATATTTGCCTTCGACATTGAGGCAGTCCGACGTCACGAAAGCGAATCTTAAAGACCAAGTCCGTTCCCCGGCAGCAATTTCAATCTGTACGATCGTAAAATATCAGTTCCAATACTCTTATTTCATCAACGTTAATAATAGTCGTCGGTTAGATTTTGTTCTACTATATAATGGAAAAACCGAGAATAATTTATTTTACACACACACAATATATATAAAATTTATATAACTATAATTATATGTAATGTAATGTAATATAATTATATACAATAAAATTATATTATATATAATTATATATAATATATAAATAGA